CCAAAGTTTTCCTAGGTCTTCCTCTACCCCTTCGGCCCTAAACCTCTGTCCCGTAGTCACATCTTCGAACCGGAGCGTCAGTCGGCCTTCTTTGCACATGTCCAAATCACCAGAGCCGATTTTCTCTCATCTTTCCTACAATTTCGGCTACTCCTACTGTACCTCGGATATCCTCATTCCCAATTTTATCCTTTCTCGTGTGCCCACACATCCCACGAAGCATCCTCATCTCCGCTACACCCATTTTGTGTACGTGTTGATGCTTCACCACCCAACATTCTCTGCCATACAACATCGCTGGCCTTATTGCCGTCCTATAAAATTTTCCCTTGAGCTTCAGTGGCCTACGACGGTCACACAACACGCCGGATGCACTCTTTCCATCCAGCTCATATTCTATGGTTGAGATCTCCATCTAATTCTCCGTTCTCTTGCAAGATAGATCATAGGTAACGAAAACGGTCGCTTTTTGTGATCTTCGCTAGATTGCTCCGGTCATTAGTGTGGATAAGTAAATAAATGGATAGAGATAGGAAAACAAACACAAGATGTACGTGGTTCACCCAGATTGGCTACGTCCACGGAATAGAAGAGTTCTCATTAATTGTGAAGGGTTTACACAAGTACATAGGTTCAAGCTCTCCTTTAGTGAGTACGAGTGAATGATTTAGTACAAATGACATTAGGAAATATTGTGGGAGAATGATCTCGTAATCACGAAACTTCTAAGTATCGGAGTGTGGTGTCGTCTTGACTTGCCTTATCTGTCTCATAGGTAGATGTGGCATCTTCTCTGGAAGTACTCTTCCTCCATCCAGGGGTGGTATCTTTAACTGGTGGAGATGCACAAGGTAATGTATCAATTTCACTTGAAGCTTACTTGTAGTTTCAGGCTTGGTCAAGCGCGATACAAACCATGTAGTAGGAGTCCCCCAAGTCGCCGAGCTAGGGGGTCTGCTGAAAGAGGTGACAGACAAGGTAAGCAATCAGAGCTCCGACTGATTGTTCACCTTCTCCCCATCTTGCAGCAGCATGAAGGATAAAGAGAAGAAAAATGAGAAGAGATGATATGAGATACTTTTGCTTTTGAAGAAGTAACTTTCCACAGGCTTATTCTTGAACTGAGCTGGAGGGTTTTCTGGTTTCCTCCAGAGTATAAGGCCGACTGAAGAATTTGAGGGTCAAAACAAGTCCATCAAATCTAGAGTACGTTCCACCCTGCTGATATGGGATACTTTTGCTTTTGACAGAGTAATGGATGTATCGGCACGTGTGCTGTTACGCTTGTCTCCACATGCTTCCTTGTATCCTTCGCACTTGCCCTATCTGTTCCTCAAGCAGATGCGGAATCTTCCCTGGAAACATAAGATGTTGAAGATGAGTACTCGAGAGCAATGCCAGGTAAGTAATCAGGTAAGGGGTTCCAGGCAGTCAGTTCCTGGCTGGAAGCTTGATTCCAAGTGCTGACTGATTGCTCTCTTTCTCCTTGTCTTGCAGGTAAAAACAAGGCCAAAAGAAAAAAACAGGAAAAAAGCATGATATGGGATACTCTTGCTTTTAACCCTGATGATATGAGATATTCTTGCTCTAGTATAGCTTGTTTGCAGAGGTATTATCGGGGGGAAAGAAAGCTGAATATTTCGAAAGGCTTTGTTGGGAGTGCCCTCTCAGATATGATGAAGGGTTGAGCATTTTTGCAGGTCTGCCTGTCCGTTGGGGATGGAGGTCGACATATATAGGAGTCTCCCTAACAACAAGTAGTAATGCTATTCCTTTACCCTGCTTGGTCATAGCACGGTAGTGGGAGCTGCCAGTTTCACATGTTTTAACTCTGTCAGAGCACTTTGAAAAAGTGGTCTGTGGTATCTGGCTCGCGAGATTCGGAGAACGATGCCTCTTCGATTTTTGAGAAAGCAATCATGTTGGGGGTCTGACTCTCGAGATTCGGAGAGCAGTGTCTCTTCGATTTTTGAGGAAGTAATCATGTTGGGAGTCTGGCTCTCGAGATTCGGAGGGCGGTACCTCTTCGATTTTGGAGCAAGCAATCTTGTTGGGAGTGTTGTCTCGAATGTGAGTAAAGGTTGGACATGTTTGCTAGTCTACCTTGCCACGAAGCACAAAGGTTGACACATAGGGACTTTCCAATTATCCAGCAATGGTACTGTTCCTTTACCCTCTCTTCGATTTTGAGAAAGTAGTCATGTTGGGAGTCTGGCTCTCGAGATTCGGAGGACGGTGCCTCTTCGATTTTGGAGCAAGCAATCTTGTTGGGACTGTTTTCTCGAATGTGAGTAAAGGTTGGGCATGTTTGCTAGTCTACCTTGCCACGAAGCACAGAGGTTGACACACAGGGACTTTCCAATTATCCAGCAGTGGTACTGTTCCTTTACCCTTGTGGGTAATAATATGGTAACTAGACCTTCAAAATTTATGGGTCTAAACTTTGTTAGTGCTGTTTCTTTGCTATTCTTTTACCTTTCTTGGTCAGAGCGATGTAGTGGGAGCTGCAAGCTTCACGTGCTCAACTTTGGCAGAGAACTTTGGCAAAGTGATCTGTGGTACCCATGAGTTATTGTTGCGTGTGGGAAGTGGGTGATTGAACAGTAAGATTCATGTGCTTTCTACTTCACCAGAAGTCTTCGACAGAATGCCCATAATTTCTGCAAAGCTGAGTGTGCGTGTGACAGGTGCTGACAAGGCTAGAAAAGTAGGTGCCTCTTTGATTTCTGAGATCGGCCCTCGTGGTCTCTGAGCAGCCCAGCTTTTGAGAAAGCGAGCGCCTCTTCGATTGATTCGGAGAACGGTGCCTCACCGATTTTTGAGAAAGCAATCATGCTGGGGGTCTGGCTCTCGAGATTCGGGGAGCAGTGTCTCTTCGATTTTTGAGAAAGTAATCATGTTGGGAGAGTGGCTCTCGAGATTCGGAGGGCGGTGCCTCTTCGATTTTGGAGCAAGCAATCTTGTTGGGAGTGTTTTCTCGAATGTGAGTAAAGGTTGGGCATGTTTGCTAGTCTACCTTGCCACGAAGCACAGAGGTTGACACACAGGGACTTTCCAATTATCCAGCAATGGTACTGTTCCTTTACCCTCTCTTCGATTTTTAAGAAAGTAGTCATGTTGGGAGTCTGGCTCTTTAGATTCGGAGGACGGTGCCTCTTCGATTTTGGAACAAGCAATCTTATTGGGAGTGTTTTTCTCGAATGTGAGTAAAGGTTGGGCATGTTTGCTAGTCTACCTTGCCACGAAGCACAGAGGTTGACATACATGGACTTTCCAATTATCCAGCAGTGGTACTGTTCCTTTACCCTTGTGGGTAATAATATGGTAGCTAGACCTTCAAAATTTATGGGTCTAAACTTTGTTAGTGTTGTTTCTTTGCTATTCTTTTACCCTTCTTGGTCAGAGCGATGTAGTGGGAGCTGCAAGCTTCACGTGCTCAACTTTGGCAGAGAACTTTGGCAAAGTTATCTGTGGTACCCATGAGCTATTGTTGCGTGTGGGAAGTGGGTGATTGAACAGTAAGATTCATGTGTTTTCTACTTCCCCAGAAGTCTTTGACAGAATGCCCATAATTTCCACAAAGCTGAGTGTGCGTGTGACAGGTGCTGACAAGGCTGGAAAAGTAGGTGCCGCTTCGATTTCTCTGAGATCGGCCCTCGTGGTCTCTAGGGAGCCCAGCTTTTGAGAAAGCGAGCGCCTCTTCGATTTCTGAGATCGGCCTTCGTGGTCTTTGAGCAGCCCAACTTTTGAGAAAGCAAACGGCTCTTCGATTTCTGAGATCAACCCTCGTGATCTCTAAGCAGCCCAACTTTTGAGAAAGCAAACGCCTCTTCGATTTCTGAGCAGGCGCCTCTTTGATTTCTGAAGCTCCGTCGAGTGCAGATTTTTATAGGGGCTGGCATTAAGTTCCAAAGCACACTTGAATCTCCACCAGTAGAAGCTTCATTCTTGCACTTCTAAGATCTTGATTTTGTCCGACCTCTTCTCTCTTCAACACCTTTGAAAATGTCTGGCCCCTCCGACCGTCGTTTTGACTTGAACCTTGTTGAAGAGGCAGCCCCGCCTTCTCCAGACAACATATGGCGCCCATCCTTCGTCTCCCCAACTGGTCCTCTTACCGTTGGGGATTCCGTGATGAAGAATGATATGACCGCTGCGGTGGTGGCCAGGAACCTTCTCACTCCCAAAGATAACAGACTACTTTCCAAACGGTCTGATGAGTTAGCTGTTAAGGATTCGCTGGCTCTCAGTGTTCAGAGTGCAGGTTCTGTGTCTAATATGGCACAACGCCTATTTGCTCGAACCCGCCAAGTTGAATCATTGGCGGCTGAAGTGATGAGTCTCAAACAGGAGATTAGAGGGCTCAAGCATGAGAATAAACAGTTGCACCGGCTCGCACATGACTATGCTACAAACATGAAGAGGAAGCTTGACCAGATGAAGGAAACTGATGGTCAGGTTTTACTTGATCATCAGAGATTTGTGGGTTTGTTCCAAAGGCATTTATTGCCTTCGTCTTCTGGGGCTGTACCGCGTAATGAAGCTCCAAATGATCAACCTCTGATGCCTCCTCCTTCTAGGGTTCTGTCCAGTACTGAGGCTCCAAATGATCCCCCTCCGGTGCCTTCTCTTTCTGGGGCTCTACCGACTGCTGAGACTTCTCCTAAGCAACCTTTGTGAAGGCTCCCTCTTGTGTGTTTATTTTGACTCATGTATATGTACATATTTGTAGCTTATCGGGGATATCAATAAATAAGCTTTCCTTCATTTCAACGTATTCAGGAAATAGCTGATATAAAACAGAGAGCCTTCTAATTTTGAGGTGGAGAGGAGTCGGAGACAATGGTCTAATATTTTTCACTCCCAAATCCAAAACTTAACCTCTGAAGTCTGAACTCATCATCTTGCTGTAACCAGCAGCTGCATCTGCAGCTTCTTAAAAAACAGACAACAAATGCAACGCTTGAAATTATATAGGATAAAACTTTGATTCCTTTACGTAAGAAAATTCCCCACAACAACAATGGGACTGAAATTGTGAATTCAATTTAAAACAAAATCTTATAATTTGAACAATATCCAATGAAGTTTTTACAGCCAACCGGGATGTGATAACTAATACAACAAAAATGTCGATGATTATGTTTTAGAAGCATCTAGTTTGTTTTACCGCTATTTCTTGCCATAATAAGATTCAGGATGTTAGGTCCACAGTGCGATACCTGAAAATGAGGAACAAATAAGGATCGAACCAGATTGAATTACAATCGGCAAAAACACAGTGTGGTACCTTGGTTCTTTGGAAGCTATGACTCTGAAATGAGAATGCTGTTTCGAATTTCAGAGAATGTCTTCACATCTAGACCCCATAACCTGTTTATTCAAATCAAAGTTAAGTCCTACGAACTCTGTAATGAACTTACTGCAACATTGATAAAACGTCACAACAGTAATACCCTTTTGCAAAAAGAATCATGAAACGCAGCACAATATGAATGTTTATGTCATGATCAAAACGGAAACAGGATATGGCACAAATGCTATTTATACTGAGAAGAACTCTTACAAGCAATCGATTCCAATGGCATTGGCGCCATCCTTATCCGCAATTTTATCGTCACCAACATGTACTGCTTTGCCAGCATCCACATGAACTTGATCTGCAACAATCGAAGAACAATCAAAGAACTTACAGAGTAGCTTCAATGTGGACTTTTAAGTTGCAAGAATAAATCCCGATCTCTACGATAACATTCTTATGCATACCTAAAGCAGCTTTGAATATGCCTGCATCTGGTTTTTCATACCCAACTTCTGAAGATATGATAACAGCATCAAACCTGCAAATACCAGCAAGTGAAATCCTTCATTTCTTCATATAAAAGAAAACGAAGAAACCCAACACCCGTGCGCCACAAATACAACAAATTAGCAACAAAATAGATGCTCACAGATGCAAAACATTAAGGTCCTCAAGCAGCTTCCTCAAGCGGGAGTCGAAATTCGATACAACAGCCAGCTTAACTCCAGCATCTTTGAGAAGGAGCATTGTTTCATAAGCTCCATCCGGAAGACGCCATGAGTCACCTTTCGCATAGTACTGAAATAAACAACAAAAACCCACCACGGAAATCAAAACTAATTTCAAAATTCTCTTCAAAGATTCAAGCTTTGGTATATAATCATTGAAATTACCTCATAAACTTGTTCGAAGTAATCGAGATTAGCACAACCAGTGGCTTCAGACACAACAAGTTTCCAAAACGGCCTCCCATCTCCCTACAATTATTGATTGATCACAACATCATTAATGCCCCAAACAATTAATTAGTCACAGTAATATTCAATTAGTTGCAGAAGTTAAACCAATTTAAGAAACCTGGTAACGAAGCTTCTGAGGCCAAGTAGCAGAAAAAGCTCTTCTGAAACCTTGCTTGATTTCAGCTGGAGTTGCAGTCACACCTGCGGAGAATTAGAAAATGTTTGAATTTGGCTCCAATTTTTAAATTTTGATGGGAGATTGAGGACTGGGAATTGGATACGATACCGTATTTGGTTCCGATGGAAGCGTAAACTTCTTCGACTGGTTTTTTCAGCTGAAGCAGAGTGCCTCCGGCGTCTAACAGCAGTGCGTCGTAGGCCCTGCGGCTGACAGCCGATCCTCCCCCGCCGGAGTGGACGGACATGGAAGAGCAGCGAATGGAGTGTTTAGGGACGTTCACATGGAGAGGTTTGAGGGCTTTCAGGAGAGCGCCGCCGTGAGACCATCTCATCAAGCAACCTTCCATGGCAGCGTTCTAGAGACCGTGGCATTAAGCAACGGTTGGGTTTTACGAACAACTTTTTATTATAAAAGCAATCATCAGCTGCACGACGTCGTTTGCCATTTTTTAGCATGGCAAATGAAACGAGCAGTTTCTACATAACAATTTGCAACATAAACATTTTCAGATCACCAAAAGCGTATCTAATAATATTGATATAAAAAAACACGTACGGAAAGCTTTCTGAATTTTTACCAAAATATTGATGTGCCGAAGGGAACAGGTTTCAGGGCCAAAGGGATAGAGTTTTAGAGTCGAAGGGGTAAAGTTTCAAGGCCGAAGGAGAAGAGGAAGATCTAAGAAAACTTAAGAATAGACTATAAGAAAAGACTTAAGAGTACTTTGGATCTAACAGAAGATGTGACACAGAACCGAGCGCAATAAAAGGTCGTACCCAGTGCACAAGGCTCATACTTTATGCAGGGTCTGGGAGAGGTGAATGTCGGCTAGCCTTATCCCCATTTATGGAGAGGCTGCTCCCAAGTCTCGAACCCGAGACCTACAGCTCATGGGCGAAGGCACTTGCCATCGCACCAAGTGCGACCAGAACCGAGCGCAATGATGTTTGAAAATGCATATAGCCGATCCTACTTAGTAGGAAAAGGCTTTGTTGTTGTTGTTGTTATTGTTGTTATTGATGTGCTTTTATTAAAAGTACTTTTTCAATAAGCATTTCAAAACGAACTATAGCCAACAAGTATAACCGACTTTTCAGTCGTCAATATTTGAGGCTACTATAAGAATTTCCACATTAAATTGATAGGCTACACAAATAATATTACAATTTGTTAAACCCTTCTTTCAAGAATATTAGAAAGTTGGGTTTGCAACTGAAAACTACAACAGAAGAAAAAACAAGTCCCTAACTATGTTTGGAACTCAACCGCAATTGTGCGAACGCCGAACGTAATGGCTGCTTGGTCTGCCCTCCTTAGAAACAATCAGCCAGCAACACTGTTGACAGTTCTGATCGCATTAGATCTGTAGATGTTTTGTAGTGCCGAATGAATTCGCTCTGAGTGCAAAGTGGTCAGCTGCAACAACAAAACCCACCAGCCGAAAGCAGCAGCTACAATCCTTTTTTGGAAAGTCTTGGGGAATCTACATACTTAAAACTCCATAGCACAACATCACAGATCAAATGCCTGAAAACAATAATACAAGTTGCTAAACAAACGAAAACACAAACATGCAGAACAATGAACACCCAATTAACCTTACCTGCATAAACTATAAACAATAATCATTGTTCAAGTAATGGGTGGAGAAGGCGGTGCTTCCCTGTGCTGGAATAGCTTCGTTAATGCTCTACGCTCACAGTCCTGCAAAAAAATTAAGAACAAACAATGAATCCATCTCTCTGGCAAACATTCTCTCATTTGCTTAAAAAACACAGCTCAAATTCATGGTGAGTAGCTCTGAAAACATGTCGGCTACATCTCACTGTATACAATACTTATAGATCACAAATTGACTGCAGCACACAGTTGAAATATGATGTAACCACTATGAGAAATACATCATAAGTTTCTAAAAAATTTCAATACCTTGAACATGTTTAGGTAGAATGGTCTCTCTGGGTTCATTCTTCTCAATTTTAGGTAAGTATATGCGAAGCTTAGTTGATCACGGGAGGTAAACCTGTTAACCTCATTAAACCAAAGGCAGGAAAACAAATTTGAAATTGGTGTATGTGCCCGGACTATAAATGAACCTTCAGGAACGTCTGCACAGAAATAGCACATGAAATCAGCATAAAATATCACAGATTCCAGATGAAAAGAAAACCCAATCTTTACAAATGACTAATGCTAATAAGACTCACAACTTGGAAGAGGAGTATTCGGGTCTGAAGGGTCAAACTTGGTGAGGCCATCAGACTGGTAAAATGTAAATTGTTCATCAATAGCTGTGTGATTGTACTTATCTAGACGCTTGTTTTGGAGTACCTCGTCCCAGACACAATGGCGACCATAATGGTTGGAAATGGCATACTCTGATTTTGTGCGCCATAAAAAGTATTCAATAATCAGCATCGGATCAGTATTAAGTCGCATCTTGCTGTCAAGCCAAATTGAATACCTGAAAACAGGAATTGTTAAAAAGAGGGGAAGAAAAATGGATTGAAAACCCAAATCAGAATTGAATGGACCTAAGTTGCACCAAGAACTATATGGCTAGAACATGGTCTGAGAATTACCATGAATTGGGGAAAAGGCGATGTGATAAAAGTTTTGGCACCTTTCCAGTTCTGCGCATATCCTCATATGGTAAATTCTTCACTATGACTACCCTCCACAAGCCAATTCGTCCTGTATCATCAGGAACATGTCCCTCTGTTGATAGTTTGGCCAATGTTTGCTCATCCACAAACATTACAAAACAAACATTTTTCTTGGAATATTCACTCATCTGTAGCAAATGCAAACATTTTTCAGTTATCAATAACTCAAATTTTATCAGTCAAACAAAATATCCGATGAAGTTAAAGTTCATTTAGCGACATTTTGTTTACTAAAGAACCCACTAAAAGAGAAAAAAATAGCTATTTAACCTGAGACACTGATTAAATGATTTATAAGGATAGGATACAAAGAAGTTCAATAAGGAATAGCACATTGACCTTTTTGCTTGTAGGCCTCCTTAGAAAGTCAGAGCTTCCGAAAATGCAAGAAGATACTACAATCTTACAGCCATTCATGTATGCCTTGTCCTTAACGTCTAAATCAAATCCAGAGCTTGAGAATCCCAGGGGTCCCTTGACAAATCCACAATGCAGAGTTTGATTTTTCGCAAAGAAGGATTGTTCTCTTTCCTCAAGTGTCTGATGCCCTCCAAATCTAGGCTTGTATATATTACTACGAGAAGGTAATCCCTCCTGGTCAATGTATTCCAGTGAAAAATGTGTGAAGTTCCTGACTTCCCAGGGTTCAACAAGATACTCAACTGATTCCAGCAACCCAACTTCACAAGGCAAATCTGAAAAGCCAGCATATGGGAGGAAGCAAAAGGGATAAGTCATATCGTAAAAATCCCGTTCCCAAAGTATGCATCTTTTATTATCCAATTACAGTCAGTCAACAAAGTTCATATCTTTCATATGCATAAGCACCAAATCAATAAGAAACTCAAGGGTTATGGTATCAATAGTCCTTCTACATTGCGGTTAAATGCGCTATTTTAAAAAGTGCAATCAAGTTTAGCAATGACATATCGAAACAACTACAAGGTCCAAGTATGTCTCAATAATATCGACGAATTATCCACATTTTTTAAAAAGTACAACAAAAATTCATGGGATCGATGTATAACAACACTTACACTTGGCACGACGCTTGCTTCTGGGTGGTTTTCCAACACCAGACGGCAAAATTTCTGGGTGAATCGAAATACTAATACTATTACCACTACCTTCTAGTTTAGCTGCATTGATCAAAACCCACATTCGTAATTACCATCGTATTAGTACCAAGATGATTAAATTTAAATTTAAACAATCTAATTAACCAAAGTTGAAGTTTTTGCAGTAAATTTGCACATACCAGGAGGATGCATTTTGAAGCCGACGAGCAGCAAGTGAATAAAAAAAATGGCTGCAAAGAGAAAAACCCAGAACCAGAATTTGTTCCTGGCGATTCGACCGAGCCTCCTTCCTTTGCGAACAAGGCGAGTGCCGTGCTCACCCTGATACATCAACAACGCGCCGATTATACCTCTCCTCATCTCCTCCGGCAACAGCGATTCGCCACTGTCGTCTATGGAGCTGTTTTCATGGCGGGTTTGCCTGGTCGGAGATCTAACTGCGACAGAGTGGCGAAGTGGGAAGATCCAGCATCGCTGATAGAGCCCCGAGCTTCCATGGGAGCCTGCAATAACGAGCGTAAGATTTTCTGTCCTCTGTAATTTGTCACCCGTCTCGTTCTGTCGGGAAAAACAAATGGCACCTGTACCTTTTTTTCACTTTTTACCATTCCGCATTTGTACTTTTCACTTTTGCCACACATATTCAAATATTTCGTAAAGAGCAACTCATATTTATAGTCTCTTCGTAATATGCCATCTTCGTCTAATTTTTAACATCAATTCTTGTTAACATGTGCGTCATACCCTTTTCGATGACGTTTTCGTTAATACCATTTTTTTTATATTCGTTTATATTTCTATCGTAAATAATTTTTGAAATTGACGCACTCAATCAATTTGATTTTTAAAATAAAAAATCAATCAATTTTGTCATTGAATATGAATGCCCAAACTCTCTATATGGTCATTTCGTCAAAAAATCTATTGTGTGTTGATGTAACACATATATAAGTTACACAAGTTTATTTAAATATCTACACGCGAATAAATGATTTAGAATTATATATATATATATATATATATATAAATAAGTAAATAGCTTAAACTAGCTGTTATTCTCACCCTTATCGGAGATTTTGTGTGTGTGTGTGTGTGTAGAAAATCAATAAGCACAATTGTAAACACGGAGATTCCTGAAACAAATGAGACAAGAACATGTGTACAAAATAATATTTTGTATTAATAATTTAGGGGTTACAATCTCTCTCAAATTTGATCCTCTAATTCGCTCTGTAAAGGTGTTGATTTTGTGGATGTGCGATTGATCCAAGGGCCATCGAGGCTTGATCTTGAAGGTTGATGAGTGAACAGATCTTCAAGGCTTTTGGGCTTGATCTTGATGAATAGTTGATGAATGGATCTTCAAGGACTTTTGGGCTTTATTTTGAAGAACGGTTGTATGTGTGGATTTGTTGATGTTGTTAATCCAAAGGGCCGTTGGGGCTTGATTTTAAGATGAACGGATGATGAACGATGAACACTTTCTTCAAGGGCCGTCAGAGCTTGATCTTGAAGGAGGATTTGATGAAGAACGAATAAGGCTTTCTTGATCCTTCCGGATTTTTTAGGAATTTAGGATGTTGGATGCTTGAAAGCTTTAGAACTTCAAAGCTTCAAGGATTTAGGGAATTCTTTTCCAATTTGGGAGTAGAGAAATGTATATGTGAATTCCCTCCTAAAATGAATGAAATGGCTTATATTTATAGGATTTTCCAATGCCTAATTTTGAATATAATATTCAGATGAAATAAATCGTTTATGCCAGGTGTTGACACGTGTCCCGTTTAATGACTTTTTCGATTTATTTTGATTTTTCGTTTAGTCACACGCTACGTGTAAAATTTATGTGACACGTGAGCGTTGAAATTGTAACTATTGGTCAACATTTATTTCACTGAAATTTCGATGTCTACAACAACAAACTGCTATTCTCTCTCTTTCTCAGCCCTAACTCCCAGTCTACAATATCCACAACCCCAACTTGTGACCTCTACTTACCTAACAAGCCTCGTCCACACTAAACCATCCAATCTCAAGCGACTCACCTCATCAGGAACAATGATTCATAACAGTTTAAAAATAAAATCATGTATAAACACAAAATTGAAACCCAATAAGAACGTGAAAGTGATTAGAAGTTCTTCCTTCTTTTTGGTTTCAGTAGAGTTTTATCTAGATTTTTGGCCCACTGAAAACACAATTTCTCTTTATTAAATCTGTGAATAACAACTCTTATGTCAGAATTTAAACTCAAGAAATTGGAGCTCCAGTTTCCACATTTTTTTTTCTCGACAAATTTCAATTTCTTTGCTCTAGTTAGCCATTCCAAATTCCTATTGTCAAATCTCGACTTTTACTTAATTTACGAGTTTTTTTTTTCCACGTCCAAACACAGTGTTAGAGAAAATACTCCTGTATTAACAAAAATGGAAAATTCTTGAAAAAAAAAGTGTCAATACTCATACACGCAAATAGACGATAATAACCTTTATTAGGGGTCAACGTGCAAGTCACGTGCTCAATATCCAACCGAATTGTGAATAAAAAATAAAAAAATGAATGCTATTGCTAAATTGTTTTAAATTTAGGCGATTAATGACAAAATTGGTAAGTTCATGTGGCATGTATGCAATTTTCCCACTTTTATTGCCCAAAAGGTAAAAATTTTGCAACCAACGATTTTACCGGCAACAGTAAAAAGACAGCGAATAATAGAGCGTGGACGCTGCTGCTGCCTTTCCAAATGTCGGCCAAAACGGTGCGCTCCACATAAACGTGTGTAAATCAGGGCAGGACCAAATACGACGCCGTCGAACAGAATCGAGTTTCTTTAGCTCGTAGACTGTAAAAGCGGTTTGTGGCTGCGCGAGCTGCGAGGAAGACAACAATGGCGACGGAACTGGAAGAGCTAGTGGGATTTCTATCCTCTCCATCTCCAGCAGTAAGTATTTTTTTCCCCACTTCTTTGCCCCCTCCTATTTTACTGTTGAAAATTTGAGAATTTGAACTATTGATTGCTTGATGGTTTGATTTCATCTTCTTTAACTGCTGATTAAAATTAATTTGAAGGGAAATTAACTGCAAATTACCTGTCTCTTTGATGATATCTTGGATTGGATGCTTTGTTTATAAAGGTGACAAAGGCAGCTGTTGATATCGTTCGGGGGCTAACCGGCTCCGACGACGGCCTGCAGTCTTTGGCCAATTATTCGAAGATTCTGCTTCCGTCGTTATCTCGTCTCGTAGCCGGAAACAAGGTGCAATCTCACGGCTCCTTTTTTCTCTGATCAGTGATATAATTCTTCAATTTGATGACTATACACAACTTAATGCAAAATGTGCAACTAAATTTGGGGTTTTGTTGGTTTGGATACTGCGCAAGCTAGCTTGTTTGCGCGGTTATCTGATTGGTATTGATTTGGAAATAACAAAAATTGGTTTAACATTTTTCAGGAGGTCGCGGAACCTGCAGCGGAAGCTCTTGTTAATCTTTCACAAAATTCAGGTCTAGCGGCGAAGATGGTTGACATGGGAATGATTAACGTTGCTATGGACGTTTTGTATAAGCCAGGGTCTGGCATTAGCCCATTGCTGGTTATGCTTTTAGTTAATCTCACGCAGTTGGATGTCGGTGTTACTTCTTTACTGCAGGTGTTCTTCTCTTAGCTCATTTTTGATCGTCGAATCACATAGAAATATGTACTAAACAAAATGAATATAATTTGTTGCCGATTACAAGAATTTTCATTATTTTCATTGTTAAATGAAGAAGGCAGATTTTTGGAATAGTCATACATGACTGTATTGTCCCTGAAATGTTAATAGTAATAGTGTCAATTATGTATATTTGCTAGACTGGAGACGAGAAGATGCAAGGGCTCTATGTTATGAAGCTTGTGAGATCATTTTGTAGATCTTCGGATGAAGCTAGCGGTGCGTTTTTCCTTTCAAAATTTATATGTTTTACTTAAAGAACAATATAATCTGAATGTGTAAATGATCTTTGTTACATGTGACATAATTTTCGCATTGTCTTTTGTTTGCAGTCTCCAATATTGACATGTTTATATCACTATCTTGCTCTGACACTTTTTTGTTCCACATGTATCAGAAGATCCATTTGAGCATGTTGGTTCCATACTTGTAAACATCTCAAAGCAGGAAGCAGGAAGGAAGCTTTTGCTGGACCCTAAGCGAGGGCTTTTAAGGCAGATTATTAGACAGTTCGACTCTCCTAGTCCTTTGAGAAGGAAAGGGGTATGTATGATAGCTCCCACAACGGGACAAGATAGAGAATCCTTTTTGTTGTTTACTCTATATTTCACTTTTGATTGACGTCAGTTAGAAACAAAAGTAAAAATTACTTGTGAAAAAAACGAAAGAAGCAGGGCTTATGCTGTCGATGAACTAGCTCTCATATAATTATTTTGAGACGGTCCTTCTTTAAAGAGAGCTTTACTATCTGGTCATATATGATCTATCAGTTAGGCAATCTGAATGAGTTCAAAGTTTTCCAAGGGAAGCACGGGTTACTCTGGTCAAGGTTGAGCAGCCAAGCTGGTGCCAATCTAACCAAGGGAAGCTCCGTTATCAACTGCTTACTTTATTAGTGAGATATTTTATTTGCTTACAGGTTTCTGGAACTATTCGCAACTGTTGCTTTGAGGCTGAGAGCCAGCTTCAGAATTTGCTTTTGATTTCAGAGTTTCTCTGGCCAGCTCTGCTTCTTCCGGTTGCTGGTAACAAGGTAGTATTCTGCACCTTCTTGACTTCCGATGCTTTCATATATATATACCCACACACACACACACACACTTTTACACTGTTTTTTGTTCCTTCATATTTATCTGGTAAGTTTTGTCCAGATTTACAGTGAACAGGATAGATCGAAAATGCCACTTGAGCTTGGGAGTGCTCTCTCAATTGAGCGTGAACCAGTTGATGATCCTGAAATTCGTGTTCAAGCACTGGAGGCCATATACTTGATAACATTACAGGTCAGATGACTAAATATATTTTGTTTTGTTCATCCAAAAATAAAATAAAATGTCTGACATAGGAAAGACAGAAAAAATAATAATCATGCGGTTCCATGGAACACAAATATGTTAAAGAAAAGGATTTAGCAACAAATTGCAATGTTGAGTGAGAACACAGATGTCTAGGATAAGATGTGCATTGATACAATGGCTTTTATAGAGTGCTTTTCTTGAGGTAATGCGTGGAATCAGTTGAGCTCTATTACCAGTCTACAGCTTATAGTAATAACATATTCCTCGCTGTGGATAATTCTGTTGATTTTTATTGAAAAAGAATTTGGAGGATTAGTTTTATACCCTTGTTGGAAAGATGTATGATAACATTTAACAACGCGTATGGTTCTATCTCTATCCAGGAGGCAGGTCTAAGAGCCTTCTGGTCCGTCAATGGACCGAGAATAATACAAGTAGCTACGAAGACGAGGAAGATCTTAAAGTAATGGGAGCATATGAGCAACTTGGCGCCTTGGTATGGAAAAGTTTCTGCCTGCCCACTCACACACACACTTCTCTTTCTCCGCAGTGTTTTCTGCTCCACTTCCTGTTGTATTATATCTTGTGAAAACTGATATTACTCCCGTCACTGTTTTACCAGTTGATTAACAGCAGCGGGACAGAGGAACCAACAACCGAGACATCTAATTAGCACGACCGATGTTCATTACTTGATTCGGGGGATCTTCTACAGGCACTCCACGCTGCTCGTTGGAAATCAAAGCGAGGGCCTTCGGTTGATTTGTGTTATTGCGTAACCGTTAGCGGTGTCAGAAGAGAAGTTTTCAGCTGGTTAGAAATAGAGCATGTTGATTTAGGGATTAAATCTGAACAGTTTTTATGCTTGGAAGAAGATGAGAAGTGGGAAAGAGATATTTGCTAGTTTCATTGGTTCTTATGTAAACCTCTGCTTTGTATGAATCCTCAAGTTGGAATATCTTAAACAATAAACTCTCCTGTGTAACCGAGTGAAAAACGAGGGATACATCATGTGTTGAGAGACGTAGCAACGGGAGATATTATCTCGGTTGTACGTAAGAATCTCTCCTCAAATGGGCCAACATAAATTCTTTCCAGATCCAATAAAGTTGGTAATCAACTTATATGATTCAAGAGAAGGCAACATAATTTTACACTCAAAAAATTTTAATTGTCATTAAATGGGGTGGATTTATCTATTTATTACACAAATTTTAAGATTTAAACACATTTAGTGATAATTAATAATTAATTAACTCTAGAACTTATTTTCTTAATTACAAAATTAAAATACACGTGTTACTCAGATAGAGAGCAGAAAAAGATTTGAAATAACGTGCATACTATATGAAAATTTACCGTAAAACCAGCAAATTTACTTCCCGCCATTTTCGAGTGTGCTCAAATGGCAAACCTCCTCTCTCAGTCTCTCTCTCTCCCCAAAACCCACCAATCGGCCAGAGAGATCCCATCTCAGAAGAAATGGATCTCTCCGACATAGCAAGGAAGCTCGACCTCGACGACTCCAAGCACGTCATCCGACGAGCCGCCGAGCTCCGCCGTCTCTGCGACATCCAGTTCGACTCCTCCATAATCGGCGTCGTAAGCTTCTCTCAAAATCCCTAATTCTCTTATCTGATCAATTTTCCCAACTGGGTATTTATCAGTTTTGATTGTAATTTGCAGGGTGAGGTTTGCAAAGCTGTGATTTATAAGAAAAGAAGATCTTTTATTATATCTTTCTTAATGAGAAAGGAATACAACTCAGTTTATATACATTTGTCTAATTAGGCTAAGTTACAAGACTGTTATAACCAAAAAATACAACTGTAAAAGCTATTAACCATGTGGTATCCCTTTATGATTTGCTTAGAAATCACCGCCACAAGGTAATCGAGCTTTTGATTTTGCAATCCCGTCCTTTTTCAGATTCATATTGGGGTTTTAACTTTACGCTTGTATTGTTTTGGATTGAATTGGTTTGTAGATCCGGGCTCCTATTGGATAGGAAAAAGGTGACAACGTTGAGTGGGATGTCTGAAAAGGCTTACACCAGATGCTACAATTCGATGCAGAACGGTCTAGGGGTCAAGTGGGTTTTCCATTTCTCATTTGGTTCTTCTGATTTCGACGTCATTTTTCGGTTTTGTGGATACTGATTACTGGATTGGGTTGTGTGTTGTGGTGGTGGTGAAGGAACAAGCTGGATGTTAGAGAACTGGCAATTCAGTTTGGGTGTGTTCGGATCATTCCCTTTGTACAGAAGGCCTTGTCTCTGTAAGATGCGATTTCAATCTTTTTTCAGTTTTTAATGAATACTTTTCATATGCTTGCTTCATGGAACTGCATGTCACTTGCTAAATGTTCGACAAAACGCTTCTGAGAGCATCAAGTTCTGGTTATTTGTTAGGATGGCTTGGTTCTAAGTGTAGATTATTATTATTATACTGTCATGTTTCAGTTACAAGACTCGGTTTCTTGCATCGTTGCCAGCTTCTCGGCGGGCAAGTGCTGATTTCACTCGTCCCATGTTCATTGCTGTGGCATTCTATGTGTGTGCAAAACACAAGGTATCCCCATGATTCATCTCTCTCGCTTGATTTCGTGGGAAGAAAGGGATTTCCTCCGTAAGACTTTTAGTCTTTTACTAATTAGTGTCATACCTAATATGTTTGCAGCTAAAGGTAGACAAGCTTAAGTTGATTGAGCTTTGCGGTGCATCTGAAACTGAATTCTCTTCCGTAAGATGCAGCCTTTCCTACTATGCAGTTCAAGAATAAGTCTGTGGAAAGTTAATTCTTCAAAAGCAAAAGTATCCCATATCATATCTTCTCATTTTTCTTCTCTTTATCCTTCATGATGCCTGCAAGATAGGGAGAATGTGAACAATCAGCCGGAGCTCTGATTGCTTACCTTGTTTGTCACCTCTTTCAGCAGATCCCCTAGCTCGGCGACTTGAGGGACTCCTACTACATGGTTTGTATCGCGCTTGACCAAGCCTGAAACTACAAGTAAGCTTCAAGTGAAATTGATACATTACCTTGTGCATCTCCACCAGTTAAAGATGCTACCCCTGGATGGAGGAAGAGTACTTCCAGAGAAGATGCCACATCTACCTATGAGACAGATAAGGCAAGTCAAGACGATACCACATTCCGATACTTAGAAGTTTCGTGATTACGAGATCATTCTCCCACAATATTGTGCAAAGAAGGCCTACTGACGCTCCGGTTCGAAGATGTGACTACGGGACAGAGGTTCAGGACCGAAGGGGTAGAGGAAGACCTAGGAAAACTTTGGAAGAGACTCTAAGAAAAGACTTAGAGTACTTGGATCTAATGAAGGACATGACACAAAACCGAGCGCAATGGCGTTCTAGGATTCATATAGCCGACCCCACTTAGTGGGAAAAGGCTTTGTTGTTGTTGTAGGCTTATCATATTTGTGAGCTTCTTCTGCAGGTTTCGACTTCCATGAAAGACTTGTGCTTTGATGTTTGTGGAATTGAAAAGGAAAAGAAAGATCCCAAGGATGTGAAGGGGAACCGAGGTATATATCTGTTGCTGAACTTACGTTTTAACTTTTCCATGGTGCATAACTTCTAGATATTTGCCATCGTTATTCATTAACTTGTCGATTGGCGCGCAGAGCTTCTGGATGTTTTGCCGGAGAAAAGGAAACTTGAGGATGGCGGCTATTCCTCCGATGAAGTAACTGAGGTACTAATAACCTAATAAAAAAATTCTAATTGCTACATTGGTTCCTAGCTGAGCTGACACTAACAAACTTGCATGTTTCGTCCCTACAACCTGTTATCATGCTATTTTTGTTCTGTCCGTCTGCCACATTTGATATCAATCATGTTCATGCCACTACCTTATCTAGCAACCTGGATTTTCTACGCTTAAGATACATGTTAGAATTCTGATAGAATCACAAATCTTCTCTTTTTATATCGATTATCTTATTTTGAATTCTATGGTGACGGCTATCACCATCCATTTCTTTTGCGACCTTGAGGTTGAACACATTTTAGAGTGGACTCTGCCTGTACAGCATGACGGAACAAATGATATAGCTTTTGTTTTTATGTTCTTGATCAGTCTCATCTTAACAACCTCTAGAGTAAGCCACCCTAGAAATGAAAACTACAGAATGTAACTGTTTGATGCCTTTGAACTTGCAGTCTTCAAGTTACAAGCGGCACAAAAAGATCAAAAAGCGTGCCTACGAGGGTTGGAAAACCTCAGTCCTCACATCTAATAAAGAAACCAAGGCAAAAGGTTTGAATGCATTTCCTTTCAGATTGTTTCACTCTGTACCAATCATGCACATTGAGATGGAAAAACCCAATTGATATGTGTTTGCTTCTTCTCAGTTCTTTGCAAGGGGACCAGACAAACTAGCCTAAACCTTCTGAAGGATGTACATGTACACGTATTTCGCCATATGCATTTGCTACAAAATGTAAACTTATTTTAAATGAAACATGTTGAAGTCTTTTTGCATTTGCATAAGCTATTGTGTGTTGTTAAAAGAGAGGGGGCATCTAGCATACAACACACACGCCATGGGTGTACAACTAAGTTTGCCATAGAAGGATTTCTGGATTTCTTCGATGCCTCTCCTTCAGCCAAGCCTCTGCATTTACATGAATTTTTAGATTGCAGAGTCTGACAGCATGAAGCATATAGACCGTTAGCAGCTATAGATTTATTTTTCAAAGCATTTTGGATAGGAAAATTAATGGATGGTAGAAGTAAAACTGAAATTGAAAACGCCGAGGTTAAATAGGTACAGTTGAAACCGCACCATTTGTATAATTTTTTCCCCCCAAAAAAAAGGGAAATTAGGGTCATATGGCTTCGCCAAGCTCACAGCACAGACGCCATGAGAAGAAATTTAATGACTATTGTTTGTTGCTAAAAGAGAGGGAAGGTAGAAGGTAATGGAATAAATCTGTTCTCAAAATATGAAACTAATATTCTCAATGTGTTTGAATTCTCTTCTTTTCATTGTCCTTATTTGGCTTCCTTCTTTCATTGTTTGTTCATTATACAACTGTTTTACATACCAGTAAAATCCAACTGATATAGTTTGATGTTACAGATATGAATTCCAGGAATTAGTTAAACAGTTTATAATCTAATCAAATTAACAAGAAAAACATATGTTTCCACTTTCCATGCATGTACAAACTCAGTGGAGATAAAACTACATTTGCAAATGAGGCAGAGCACCAATGAAGTGATTATGGTGCATGTGTTGTGTGGTCAAATATAGGAAGTACATTAGTTGGAGTGATAATGTGACTTTTTTTTGGAGACCGATATATCATTGTTTGATTTCTGTCTTTTGTTTTTACCTTTTCAAATAGTTGGTCTGCTTCTCTATATTTTCTCATTGCCTCCACGCAAAAGGTCAGTTTTCTTTTTTGTAATTAAAATGTTCTTAGATTGTGGTTATATGTGTTTGGTTTTTTGCTATTTTATCTTTTGAAGTTTGCTTATTTGTATATTTGTTTGCATCTGGTTTTGCTTGCTTGGTCTATGGGTGGCTTGGTTGTATTTTCCCCCTTCCTTTTTATCAGTTTATTGCTTGGCAATGTTAATTTGTAACTGCAATGCGCAAAAAAAAACTAGGACTAGAAAGAGACAGCGGACGATACAAGAAAGACATAATATCCTGCTTCAAGTGGTGCTCAAGTGTGTAATGAGAATATTTATGATGCTAACAATGTGGAAATCAGCCTGCATTATTAGCTTTTACTGCCCTCATGTAAATTTGTAATCAGTCATTGATTTCTGTTCTTTTATGCACAATTTTGGGTTTGTGGTATTGTGTTGATTGATGCTACTGGGGCTGGAGAATGTTAAAATCCCACGTCGGAAGCTTAACTAAATGAAATACAAAAGGAAATGAATGTTGCCAATTCATTAGTAGCGAGCCGCTAGACCGCCTCTAAAATGACGGCTGGCTAGCCCCACCAATTCTCTCTTTTGTGTTTCCATCTAATTTGGTGTTTATCTTTGGCAGATGGATACGGGAGATGCCGATTGCTAGCAGCTGGAACAATCGCTTCTTGGGCTCTTCTAACTAACCGACATTCAATATCATGTAAGGAATTATAATGGTTTCGATTCTTCTGTACTTTTCCTTTTAAGTTTAGTGTTGTAGTACTAAGTTTTCTGGATGTCACATTGAGTCATGTGACCATCGTATTCTCTCTCACAGCTCACAACGACGTAATCGCGCAGAGCTTCGTTGATTTTTGTCAACTCCGACCACGAACAGCGTCGGGTAAGCTGTCGACCACCCCCTCTCCATCTTCTTTTTCTTCTTCCGCTTCTCCCTGTGCATTCTAGTTTGACTGTCTGTGATCGAAAAGGTCAGTTCATCTAAATTCAGCAATTGACTCTCAAACTCTGAATCTGATTTCGTCTCCTTCTGCTGTTCTTCTCCATTCTCCTCTTCTCTTTCTTCCGTAAATTTAATCAATTTGGATTATTCATTTTTTTTTAGAACATCTGCGGCTCCACACGAAAGATTCAGTTTTTGCCTGATCATTGTCAAACGCTGTAGCAACTGGAGGCCCAAATTTACAACAGCCACTCAACAACTAAGAATCTCCAAAACACCAACAAAGGAAGAGCCCAACCCATGAGTTGAGCCCAAAACAAAAGCGCCTAGCCTAACACAGAGTCTACTACCAAAAGTTCAGCGTGTGCGGTCATACGTACCGTCTGCAAAAGTTCAGCGTGTGCGGTCATACTACCAAGCTGAACTTTTACACTAAAAGCCTAAATTCCCCAATCCACATCATGATACACTGAAAACCTAAATTCCCCAATCCACATCATGATTCATCAACTCTTATAAACACACTATGTCTCCTCCTCCAGTTGCCGTACTCAGCTCAATCTCAATCCCTGATTTCTTTCTCTCCTCCTCCCAAATCTCCCAAATCTGCTATGGCGGACGTGGAAAATCAATACCCTCTTCGAAATGCGCCTCCGTACCCACAACATCTAACTGAGGCTTTGGCCATCCTGTTGGCCTTAGCTTCCATTCTGACCCCCGTCGGGATGAATCCAAGCCAGTTTGCCAAACCTCCATACTACATTCTCTCTGTCGTGGTTATGGCAGCTCTCTCTCTTGTTTGGTTTGGACTCTTTGTCCTCTCCGCCCGACTTCCATACCGATTCGTTATCTGGGGAGGGCTTGGCTTAGTGTGGCTGTCTGCTGGATCATTCTGCATGGCATACTTGCACCCCAATTTTTCATGCCCATGGTTTGTTCCTTCAATATTGTTTTGGGGGTCATATTGTTGTTGAACCTACGATTTCGAAATGTTTGGGAGCGTGGGATCCAAGTCATAGCTGAAAACTGCAGATTTTGGAACTATATAACTGGAAACTATTAATGTTCAGGTAATGTAATTGTAGACATCGAAATTTGAATTTCCGTGTTTACAGTAATATAGAGTTTTTGGGTGAATTTTGATTTACATATATTTTTTCAATTGTTTTAGCAGTTGGATTTTTTTTACCGTTAGATTTGATCGTTTTCGATCTCAGCCGTTGGATTTACTATCTTTAAAATTTTAAAATTACCCAAAATTTATTTTAGACCCAACAAGGATTTGATTAGTTTAAAACCCAAGTTTAAAAGTGATTTATGTTTTCTTCTTATAATTATTTTATAGAAAAATCATTTAATTAATTCATGTTCCATCTTTTTTAGAGTATATTTCTGGCCTCAAAATTATTTATACAAATATTACACATGTATACAAATTTCCACAAAAAATAAAAAAATAAAAAACACCAAATAATGCCTGTACACCACACGTGTTTCATATTTTACTATGGTTTGCGTATATATAATATAGGAGCTGTTGATGTTGCTCAAACACAAAATCCACTGAAAATGTTACAAATGCTACAATTGGCAATAATGAATTAGACAAATTACAGCTAAACCAATGTTTTTCGTAATGAGTATCTTATTAATAATTGTTTGTAATTATTTTCTCTTTCAATGTTCTTTTCAGATCAGTAGAAAGATGGAGAGAAAGCGGTTGACCATACTTTTGTTTGGTCAATGAATAAAATCACTCGGAAGAAGGGAATTTCTCTGCTCCGTACACTTTGTTTTTAATATTTTTGTAATGTTTGCTGAATATTTGTGTTACCGTAGATTATTCCGTTTTTGTTAAATATAGAATATAGAATATAAAATCATCACGTATTATAATCCACTCGTACTTAAACGTTTGTTTTTATTGAAATCTGCCGCACTTATAAAAAAAAAAAAAAAATTAATGAAAAAAATTTGAAAATTTTAAGTTTTTACAATAAAGATAAAATAAAGGGTAAAGTAAATAGTACCAGAATTTACTTTTTAATGTTAAAATATAATTTTTTGTTAAAATGAACAGTACTAGAAGCTTTTCATTAAAGTTTCCAAAAAGAAATCGGCCTCTCTAATTTTGTGACACTTGTCTACTCACTTAACCCAACTTGACACTGTTAAGTGTTTCGATTTGAATTTCGTGAATGGCGAATTTGATATTAAATTAGAGGGCTTAAAAAAAAAAAAAAAAAAAAACTCTCACTGTTATCAACCTCACGCTGCCGTCTCCATCCCCAAACTGCCGCACTTCAAACCCAGAAAAGAAAAGCCAATCTCCCATCCCACCACCAAAATCTCCAAATTTCGGCGAACAGATAACTCTGCAAAATCCTCTCCCAAATTCCAATGAAACCGATGGCGAACTCGAGCGCGACTTCGAAGTCTTCACCTCCCTTTTCCTCTTCGCGTTCTCCATGGTTTCTTCTTTGAACGCTGGAATGTCTGCAACTGCAAGCGATTTCAACTAGGATTTGCAGCAATCCGTTCATCATTTTCAGGTGGGTCACCGCCGCGATGCCTGATCCAAGAAGTTCAGGTTCGAAAACGGTGCTCTCGCTGAATCAATTTCATCGATTTTGTTCCCAATCTTGTAAATTTGTTAATTTTTGATTGAATAATTGGGTTTGGAATCATTATCCTCTGCAAATTTGTAAATTTATTTTATCTATTACATTCGCACTCTCGTAAACCACAGAGAGGCCACTCGGAGGTGTTCCATTTCAATCCAACAATGGCCCTCCCTTTGTTATACCCTAGGTAGGGTTCACTGTTAGTAGTCAATACCTTTTTTTCGATAATTTCAGTATAATATCGAATTTTAGTAGTCAATACCTTTTTTTTCACATTTAAAATTGTAGAGGTTCAAATCTTTAGCAGGTAAAGAATTGTTTAAATGAGTCATTTCAGACATAAGTCCCAGTTATAAAGCAATAGGTGCCACTATTGTAAAGAGAAAATTGTAGCAATAATCTTTGAACGTTAACCTAATTGGAGGAATGATCCCTTAATTAAAAATTTATGATCATTAGTCTCTTAACTCATGAAAACGTGCAATCATGATCTTTCTCATCAACTCCTCACGTGCTATGCACTTAAAGCTGAATCAAGGGATAAATATGAAAAATCAAATGAGAACATTGTAGCAAATTAGCAATGGTCCCTCAATTTTAATCCAAATAGAGAAATGGTCCATCAACTTTAATCAAATTGAAGCAATGTCCCTCAACTTTTCCTCAACTTTAACTCAATTTTAACAATAATTCTTCTAACATGACTCATTTTGATGAGTGAAAGGATCATTGATTACAAATTTTTAATTCAAAGACCAATGCTCCAATTATGTTAAAGTTGAGCATGTTTCAATGGTCTCTACACATTATTAGGTAAATTTGTCTCTTTTTCCTCTCCGGTCACACCATATTTTTAATTTTCTTAATTACGACAGACGTGAATTAGGTCAGTTGGCTAGATCAGCATGTATACCCTCTTTGCCCAAAACATTCTTAATCACCTTGTTTAATTCTTCAAGAGTTGGGATTCTATCAATTCCATTTGCACTCTCTGAAGGAGGAGCTTGATTTCTTTTCCAGTTGGCGCTTCTTTGTTGGTATACCGGGTTGCTTCTACAACGATGCATGGACGGGAATCCGCGCCATTTTCATGGACAGAAGGGAAGACTCACCATCACCATTTTCATGTACCTTGAGCTGTATTTGGTAGCTGTTGAGTTTCTAATACTAGAAGGTGACAACTTAAACCAGTTGTTCCCAAGCATGGGGTTCAACATGGCAGGATTCAAAGTTGGAGGCAAACAATGCTTTGTTTTGCTCGCTGCCCTTGTAATTCTGCCAACTACAAAATGCTTCTGAGAGCATCAGGTTCTGTTTATTTGTTAGGATGGCTTGGTTCTAAGTGTAGAATATTATTATTATACTGTTATGTTTCAGTTACAAGACTCGGTTTCTTGCATCGTTGCCAGCTTCTCGGAGGGCAAGTGCTGCTTTCACTCGACCCGTGTTCATTGCTGTGGCATTCTATTTGTGTGCGAAAAAACACAAGGTATCCCCATGGTTCATCTCTCTCGCTTGATTTCGTGGGAAGAAACAGATTTCCTCCGTACAACTTTTACTAATTACAGTGTCATACCTAATATGTTTGCAGTTAAAGGTAGACAAGCCTAAGTTGATTGAGCTTTGCGGTGCATCTGAAACTGAATTCTCTTCCGTAAGATGCAGCCTTTCCTACTATGCAATAGTCCCTTTTGTTGTCAACTACATTTTTTGTTCTAGGCTTATCATATTTGTGAGCTTCTTCTGCAGGTTTCAACATCCTTGAAAGACTTGTGCTTTGATGTCTGTGGAACTGAAAAGGAAAAGAAAGATCCCAAGGATGTGAAAGGGAACGGAGGTAGATATCTGTTGCTGAACTTATTTTAACTTCTCCATGGTGCTAACTTCTAGATATTTTGCCATCATTATCCATTAACTTGTCGATTGGTGCACAGAGCTCCTAGATGTTTTGCCGGAGAAAAGGAAACTAGAGGGTGGTGGCTATTCCTCTGGTGAAGGAACTGAGGTACTAATAACCTAATTTGAATTGCTACATTGGTTCCTAGCTGAGGCGAAGGCATTGGTTGTGATTGCCTCTGTATAATGCACACAAACAGACTTGCATGTTTCGTCTCCACACCCTGTTATCATGCTGTTTTTGTTCTGTCCATCTGCCACATTTGATATGGCTATCACCATCCATTTCATTTGCTACCTGGAGGTCGAACACACTTTACAGTGGACTCTGCCTGTACAGCATGATGGAACAAATGATATAGCCTTTCATCTTTATGTTCTTGATCAGTCTCATCTTAACAACCTCTAGAAATGAAAACTACAGAATGTAACTGTTTGATGCCCTTGAACTTGCAGCCTTCAAGTTACAAGCGGCACAAAAAGATCGAAAAGCGTGCCTACGAGGGTTGGAAAACATCAGTCCTAATATCTAATAAAGAAACCAAGGCAAAAGGTTTGAATGCAGTCCTAATACCTAACTAATATGTGTTTGCTCTTCTCAGTTCTTTGCAAGCGGATCAGACAAAGTAGCCTAAACTTTCTGAAGGATGTACATGTACACGTATCCGAAACTCAGAACTTGGAGGCTGTGTAGGACGATACATGTTTGCCTTCTTGTGCCATACAATCCAGAACGTCAAGCAAAGCATTGAAACGGTAAACGAATTATTGAAGTTTTGATTGCAAACTCATCAGACATCGATATGGAGATCGAGTGAAATGTATCAATACAAAGTTTCAAATTTCAGCATTGAATACAAGCAGAGTTCATGTTTTTTGGTAGGGGATGGCCATTGCTCATGAAGTATTTGGGTTGATTTATCGAATGAGACAAATAGTAGCGGAGTCAAAATTTTAACTGAGGAGGGGTTCAAAAGTCTCACCCTAAAATGCTTCCTTGATCCAAGAAAAATAAAGATATGCACTGTCTTAAGCTACCGACCGCCATCGTTTGGATTTGGTACGACGTTCTTGTCATCCTCTTCCTCAACTCAACTCCCAAAAATCCTTTTAAGTGGAAGAATGAAGGAAGCTCTCTCGCCTACTTCCTCTATCTCCCTCTTCTAATCACCTAAATCCCTCAAAATTCACAGTGATGCTGGTTAACAACATAACAGCCACCAACCTTACTTCAAACCTAGTGAAAGAAATAAGGTAAAGATTCTGGTTGAGTCCCTAATACCTTGAAAAATCTTTGAAAATCAAAGGCATAATTCTAATTTTTTATGTGTGAAGAAAATGTCAGAGTAGGCCTAAAACCATTCTGATTCTTACACGGCTATGCTCCTAGAGACCAACATGGTGTCTAGCGAAAGAAAAAATTCAGTATGGTTGAGGGTCCAGTGGTTCCAACCTCTGATCGCATACTCTTTCACAAACTCTCTTTGTTGTTCGGTTAATTTGAGTCATCGTGATAATATGACAAACTTCTTATTAGACATTCTTAGAGTATTTCCAGTGAGGGACTCTATATGGGGCTGGAAAAGTGGTGGATATAGTCTATTTTCAGTAAAAAAAATCATTTGAAAATTTCACCCATTAATGCCCATAAACGTGAAATCAATTTGAAAATTTAATTCTTATGGAATTTAAAACAATCATTAATTATCCAAATTGCAAGAAAAATAAGTAAGAAAAAAGAAATAATAAAAGTAGAATGTAAGTGTATTCGCAAGTGAAATGAGAGTGATAGAATTTTGCTTACATAGTTTGTTACAATTTTTGTGGGACCCACTATTTTTTTGGAGCTAGATATAGCTCGATTTTATGCTACTCAAAAAAGAAAGTTGCTAATCCCAATAGTGTATCTAGCCTCATTTTTCGGCTTATTGATGATGAAATTTCTCATTAGAGCTGAAAATGTAGTAGCCTCGTAAAAGATAATGGAAGCTCTTACAAGTTAAACCATGTGACGTCCCTACTAACGCAAACGTTCATCTAGTGTACACGTGTTACTGACATTTTTTTTTGTTCCACCGTGCTATTGACATGTTTGGTAATTGGTGTCCTTATTTTTTCTTTGACCATATGTTGATGTCATAATTTGCAAAATCTCCAAAATGCCTTCCAAGGAGCACAAGCTGACACGTCGTCCCCAAGGGCACTCTGGACTTTCCACCCTCCCGCGTTGATTTGTGGGCTTTGAAACGGGAGAAAATTCCTCCACTCATTTTTCAGTCAAACCCGGCATCCTTTTTTAGTCCGTCCCACAGGAAATTAACGCAAAACCCTTCCATTACAAGACCGGATCATGATAATTTTTAAATTACGTCTGTTTATTCTATATTGTATGATTAAAAATTATTTTAAATATTTTTATTTAAAATTGAACGTATAATATATGATGAACATATATAATTTAAAGATTCCTAAAATCCTGATAAAGAAGATCTCGCGCGTTCTCATTCATTACAAAGAATGATACCGTCGGTCCCTCCAGCGAATCAAAAGCTCCTACCAAATAGCAGGACCCATGAAACTCCCAATCCGTGGAGTCCACGTAGCGAGCTCACATGACCAAACATGGAATCACAAATACCAGAACAAGCACCTCCACGGAGATACGCCATAGTTTGGATGAATGGTATTTCTGGGTCTCTCTCTCTCCACTCTTTCTCTCTCCTCTCGCACATTGATTCCAACGAGCCTGCTGTTGAATTTAAATAAAAAATCAAAACTTGACCCACCTTTTTCTTCAATGATTTTTTATATAAATGTTTGTCCCCAATATTTTTAAGTTAAAAAAACTTGATTGCATTTCCAACCGACGTCAATAATAGTGGAAAATTCCTATTTTGGTTTAGGGTAAGGATCACTTTCTCTAATTTAGGATTTTTGCGAATTTGGGGATAAATTCGAAACGAATCGATACTTCTCATGCGAATTTCGATTTGTGGGTTGCTTTCTTCTTCTTGATAGTCGGGGTTTTTTTT